TGGCAACATCCTTCCCTAAATTTTACCCTCGGGTGGCTCACCTTGCCAACAAAAGGGGTGAGTCAAGTTGAAATGGCAACATCCTTCTCTAAATTTTACCCCAGCCTTGCCCACAAAAGGGTGAGTCAACTTGGCATGGCCACATCCTTCTCTAAATTTTACCCCTGCATGGAAAAGTCGAAAAGCGCGCAGCGCAAAACCAAAAAAACGCGCGCGCAAAAAATGGAACCAGGATAACGCGTGTAAACGCGCAAGCCTCCCAACCGCTTTCGCGCAAAGTGCGCAAAGTGCGCGAAGTACGCAAAACACGAAAAACGCGCAAGGTAAAAGCAGAGCAACAAAAGCAAACAAGCAACAAAAGCAGAAAGGCAACAAAAGCAGAAAGGCAACAAAAGCAAAAAAAGCAGCAAAAGCAAAAGAGCAGCAAAAGCGGAACAGCAGCAGAAGCAAAAAAGCAGCAAAAGCAAAAGAGCAGCAAAAGCAAAAAAACAGCAAAAGCAAAAGAGCAGCAGAAGCAGAAAAGCAGAAAAGCAACCAAAGCAGAAAAGCAGAATCCGAAAAAAATTCCCGAAAAAAAATGAAAAAAAAAATCCCAGAAAAAATACCCCTCCGTGAGGTTTTAACCTCTAGCCCACCCACTTTCACGGACCTCAAATGCTGTGGAACCTGTGGAATCTCATCTGGGCTGAGCGCTCTCTACTTCTGTTCTATAAGACCGATTACAAATTGGGGTGTTCTTCTATAGTGCCGTGTCAAAATGAACACGGTTGCTTTATAATAATATTGTTTGGCGATGCAATGCCGATACCTTCTGACAAAAGCAACACGTGGGAGTGTTCATGAGATTTCTAACGGTCCGTTCTATCATGCATGCGGCGATGTAGTCTAGTCTAGATCGATGAAAGACCCTCAACAAACACTAGTTCACGGCCGCTCATCTATGAGAGCTCCACAAAGCGACGATCGTTTCTTGCGGCGCCATAGGACCTGATCACCCCTACCCATTCTCTCACCGCGAATCTTCGGAAACCGTCGCTGTTGGCACGCCCGTCTAAACGCCTTCTGCGCACTGCGGCGGGCGCCGCGCCGCGCGGAGTCGCCCGGGGAATCCGGACGTCCAGCTGTTCATCGAGATCATAGGCGTTGGGTGCTGAAATCTTGGGCTTCTTCTGGCGAGGTCGGAGGGCTTCCTCTGGTCACCGGGTCTGAGTCCAGAGCTTTTGGGGTGCTGGATTTGGGGAAAGCATGGGAAAGCGAGGATTTTGGAAGTGGTTGAGGTTTAGTATGGATGCTAAACAGTGCCATGACAAACAAGGGCAGTAGAGATGCTATAGTCTGAATTCTCCCATCAACAAACCAATGTACTGACTTACATGTACTTGCTGATCGAAGGAATCAGTGTCTCACGAATTGCATGTCAGAGATGGGCGCAGATTCATCGACCCCTGGAATGTGCACATACAGGTTACTAATAGCAAACATTGTTACTACTAGTAAGGCACTTGTTCCTAGAAGCGATGCACTTGTTCCTAGTAGCTTATTGTTTCTAATAGCTTCTTGTTACTACTAGTAAGGCACTTGTTCCTAGCAGCGATGCACTTGTTACTAGTCATGTCCCAGCCAATGTGTGCGTCACAACCGCATGACATTGGATTCGGGAATCCCCTGTTGTGGCCAAAGACCTTCAGCTCATCCAAGGAGGATGTGGCTTTTGGATTGTGGGATTCTGACATTCCAGCAGTCTGGTTACGTGGACTGGATCAGCGTTTGCAGAGCTTCTTTGGTCCAGCTACCTTAGTTTGGGTTGGCTTCTTGTTGCTAAGTTTTTGTTCAGACATAGTCATCAAGGATTCCTGAAGTCATGTGCACGTACAACACACAAATCTCCGTGCCAGGATCCCATGCCTTACCAAGCTCCCTGTTACAACATGTTACAACCCTGTCCTTCCTTTTTCGAAAGTGTTGGTCATCGTTTTAAATCGTGCGGAAAGCCACAAAACAATCAATGGCCTTCCCAAAGACCCAAGCATATTGATGTATGGCTCGAAGTGCGCATACTTCGTCTTCCCCACCTCTTTCCTGCGGGGTGGTCTCTTCGGCCTGGGAGAGAACGAGGCTGTGGGACCGCCGACTGCGCCTGTTACGGACGGATGCGCCGGACTGACGGCACACGATGCGGACGGGGCGGTTTCGGAAGCGCGGAAGCACTGGGAGAGCCAAACATGACGAAATGGTCCTGTTCTGTACCACATCCAAGATGCGGGCTAGCAGCTAGCATCTGTAGTTGAAAGTTATCCCGTGGTACTTGGTGAGGTCACCTTCATGTTCGGTCACCTGCGAGTGACGAGAACTGACTGTCTGCGCAACCCGGACGGGCTGCGGCTAGCAGACGCCTGAACGGACGAGCGCTTTCCTCAGCCCTTGGACGTCTGCGAACGGCGAATAGGGCGCAGTCATTTTGAGGTAAGCCCACCCCTACAGTTCCCTGCCTGATCTGGTGAATGGAACAAGTCCTGCAATTGGTGGGGACAGGAGATATCACACAGATCTAGGCGGCACTGGTTCCAGCACATCGCATGCAGCCTTCGGGGTCCGATTCTGACCCATCTTTTCATCAGAAAGAATTGATGACCTACACCGGAGAGGTCTTGATAAGAGGCACTTGATGTATGAGTATGATTGATCGCCTGCGACGTCTCACGAACAGGAACAGTTCCTTGTTCCAACATGTTCCAACAACATATGGCCGAAATTAGGCAGTGAAAGTGTTTCTTCCGATTGAATGGCAAAAATGATAGTAATTATCAGATCGCATCATGTGTCATGTCTGTAGCTGGCTTTCCACTTTGACTGTGTACCAATTCACTTAATTTCACTTATATATAATATACATTAATATACTGTACGAGTGAGCCAATAAGGATAAATTGTGTGATCTCACATGAGGCGAACCCTGAGAAATCCCCGAGTTCACTTCTGGTGAACTCCTGTACCTCCCTTTTTTGACCCAACTTCTATTATGACCCGCCCTCGCCTGCCGCGAAACCTTTCGCTTCGGAGCCTTGGATTGCTTTGGAACGGGTTGGAGCCAAGGACTGATAAAGCAACGCGACACAATGCCCCCGAACCTGAAGGCGAGGCTCTGACTCTCTCTTCTCTAGATTCTTTGGATTCTTCGATGTCGAGAGGATGTCGACTTCATTCACCCTGATGTCTCTGAGGATCTCACGTAACTATAATCGTAATCATACGAGTAGTCATAGCTGCCTGGATCGAACATCGCAGCTGGGCATCGAGGACAAGTGTCACGGCCGTTGGACAAGTGGGACGAGGAAAGTGTCTTAAGTTGTTCGGACGGCTTTTGAAAGTGTCTTGAGGATTCTCCTCAAGCAAGAGAAGCGGTGGAATTCAGAAGCAGCATGTGGCGCATGGTGTCTTACCGTGAATAATGGCTGAGATGGCTTCAAACCAAGATCATGCAGCCCTGAGCTTGTGACAATTGCACTACCTTCACAAAATCATGAACAAAGCATCAAACCCAACTCGGGCTTATATAACCCAATTGCGCTGCGGTCTCGCTTATTTGTCTAGAAGACCTCCATACTCCACGCTCTCCGTTTTTTAGGGGAGATGGCATATCATGACCCACACGTTTTCTGAAAATCTCAGACTCAGGACCAGCTGTTCAAACAACCACCGCATGTCGACTACACCATTTACATCACATCACTTGACCCAGCAAGCTTTCTGTCAATCCAGGGACAATATTTCAAGGTCTACACCCAAGCTGACGGAGTCCGCAACGCTCCTCAATTTCAATTGGAACTGCACATATCACTATTACATCCTGAAGTCTTCTGGGCATCTCAGATCTAATTATCTCCAAGCTGAATTCCAGTTTGCCATGTCCCAGCCAAACCAATCTGTCATTTCGAGGATGGTGATTTCGTCCCGTGCCAAGTAGACCGTCCATCGTCCCGTCCATCGTGCCTTTGGACTCTTTGGACCGCCAAGTAGACCGTTCATCGTCCTGACGGCTTGGAATATCTGGAATCTGGATGAAGGCACTTGTTCTTTGGGGCCGGGCATGAAACAGAACACTTAAGTCATGTTCCCATGGCTCCACGTCTCTCTTTTTTTCTGACCTACTTCCACTGAGACTCATTCTGTTCAATATAGAACCCCAAAATGGCGTGACACAAAATAGGGCCAACAATTAACCAGCTGCGGAAAAAGATCCCTGTGCCTTTGACATCCTTATTCTTTGGTGCATTGCGATCATGATCTCAGAGCAGGGCTGAGCTGAGGCTTGGAGGATATGCTATTTATGGATTAATGTTGTGCAAAAACGCAAACGCAAAGGAACCACTAGCACCGGCTCCAGGAAACATTAGTTTGTCATTCGTTGAACATGTGAAAACATAGTTTGAAAAGCTACCTCCACTTACATAGCTCTCTACTTGCGAATACGAGTCTCATGGCCAAGATGCGAAGCGGTCGACCGTCCGTTCGTCTCTGGGGGCGTCTCATTGGAGGAGGAAAGAGTAGCGTCCTTGTTACTAGTAGTAAGGCCAGGAGCCCCTAGTAGCGATGCCAGGAGCCCCTAGTAGAGTCCTTGTTACTAGTAGTAAGGCCAGGAGCCCCTAGTAGCATCCTTGCTCCTAGTAGCGATGCCAGGAGCCCCTAGTAGAGTCCTTGTTACTAGTAGTAAGGCCAGGAGCCCCTAGTAGCATCCTTGCTCCTAGTAGCGATGCCAGGAGCCTGTAGTGGCGTTCTTGTTACTAGTGGTAAGGCCAGGAGCCCCCAGTAGCATCCTTGCTCCTAGTAGCGATGCCAGGAGCCCCTAGTAGAGTCCTTGTTACTAGTAGTAAGGCCAGGAGCCCCTAGTAGCATCCTAGTAGCGATGCCAGGAGCCCCTAGTAGCGTTCTGGTTACTAGTAGTAAGGCCAGGAGCCCCTAGTAGCATCCTTGCTCCTAGTAGCGATGCCAGGAGCCCCTAGTAGCGTTCTTGTTACTAGTAGTAAGGCCAGGAGCCCCTAGTAGCATCCTTCCTCCTAGTAGCGATGCCAGGAGCCCCTAGTAGCGTTCTTGTTACTAG